TACATGAGGAAAATTATCTTGTGATATTTTTGTTTACATCTGGACTGGACATAAAAGGTCAGGTGTTGGTGAAAAACTAACGGAAACTGATTTGAAAAAAGTATATATACAATCTCAAAAAATCTGAATATCATGAAAAAGTTCAATATTTTTGTCAATTAATTCAGAAAGTCATCCATTATAGAGACTCAAGACACATAGAGTGAAGCTTTCAATCTTCACTCTTTTTCATGACGTTCACATTTTTTGAGATGATCTGTAAATCTGGAATAATGTTAACATCTTTGACCCAATCTTGTGTCTCGTCTTGTGGAAATTGTGTCTTCTCCCACCACTAGTGGTTTCCATTTAAGCACAGTATAATCTCAACCTTTCAGTATTGTTAGTCAATGTGACAAATGTAAAAAAATATTTGACGAGGGTGAGGTGCAAGGGTTTATTATTACCTTTCCAGAGCCAAAAACGGCCTCCTGAGCATATTTCACCAGACACTCTTGACAGAACAGATGCCCATCTGAACACTGGGTCATCTTCTCAAAGGCAAAGTCCCCATAACAGCAACCACACTCAATCAGTTGGCCATCCTACAAGGTTAACAAAAAATACATTATGGTAACTTAATATACATCTTGTGACATACGTGTTATGCCATCAGAAGCAGGTCAGGAAGTTTCAAAGAGCCATACCTTTTTATATTCATCCTCATTGACTTGCAGGGCTAACAGGAAGTCCTCATGCTGAAGACAGAACAGGCAGGGTATTCATTTATTATTAAGAACATTTTATTCAAGGACATTGCACTTCTGTAGCTTTTCACACTGATTTTGAAAATAGTTTCATATATTTTTACTATTGCAGTTTCAAAGAGTGTTTACCTCTGCCCATTCCTTTGCTTTCTGTTGATAGAAGGAGAGCTCTTTTTGCACAGAAGGCTCTAGGTTACTGTACGTTCTGCAAAACCGCCGATCATGTTCCAGGAAGTACATTCTCTTTTCGAGTTTAACTGAACCTGAAGGTAAAGACGGATAACAGATAAATCAATTCTAAGAGGAAAAAAATCATATTAATTTGTATTTTTTAAATGAATGCTTACCATGTTCAAAATGAAAATCAATGTAGCAGCGTTCGCTGGACGTTCTGCTCCGTCGCCTTTTCCCTGAGGGGTCGCCTGAGCTCTGCCACTTCTTTAGAGCTTCCCATAAGGCCTATCGATCACATGTTTAGATTACACATTTACAATAATGAAACATAATAAAACAAGGGGAGTTCTACAAAAATGTATTGTGTTAGAGAAGTACCTTGCGTGTGATTGCATAGTGTCCCTTCAAGGCATTGAGAGCCCATTTGATGTCTTGACAGCTGAGCATCCGGAAATCTGCCATGAGCAAATCAGCAGCTTGCATTATCGCTCCATGCCCCACAACAGCCAGTTTAGAGTAGTCAAACAGGTCTTCTGTCTCCTAGGAGGAAACTTAGTGTTAATCTTTCTGGGACAAATAACAAATCAATAACAGTTTTAAGCTCCAATAAAGGAAAATGAAGGCTTTAAGATATATGTATGTATATTGTATGTGACAATGCATGTGCCCCTATATATAATATATAGGGGCACATACCTCAGACTGGGTGTCTTCGGGCTCCAGGAGGATACTGGAGGCTGCAGCAATCTCTCTTTGAGGATACTGTGGGTTCTCCAACAGCAGATTACAAATACTAAAACAAAAAAGGGTTATAGTAATAACACATCAATAAATAAAAGACTTTCATAATGGATAATAGTTGGGGAAATGTACGAGCCATTCAATAACATGGCCTGATATGAATTCTAGATACTTACACATTCAAGTCTTTCACATTATTCTTTTGGATCAGTTCTGCTACATAGGCTTCCTGAACATCAGGAAATAGATCCAACTGGAGCAAACAAAAAGCGAGGTCACATATAAGAACAAACAGCAGCTCTGGGTGGTCATAGTGTGCTGAGCACTCACCACTTTTGCGACCATGTCTCTGATGTCAGACTGTTGTTCCACTCGTGGTGCAGACGGACCAGGCCGTGCGTCCTCTATCCTAGGAACATCTTCCACCACTGCAGGCACCACCCCTAGGTCTGGGGCAGGTGCAGGTCTGTCTGGGTATGGGGCTGGCTGCTGGGCAACAGGAGCTTGGGTAGGATTGTGGGCTTCATGGTTTTGTTGATTTGGTAAAGGGTTGGCAGGTCCTGGCTGAGGATGGGCCAGGCTCCCAAGGACAATTCTGTGGCTAGCTTGTGGAGGCCCGAGTCTCTCAGGGGCAGCAGCTATGAGCACTGGAGGGGCTGTGACCTGTATGACCTGTGTGGCATTAGGGGTCTGGAGTGGTGCTTGGAGTAGTGCATGGGCGGGGGCTTGGGCAAGTATCTGGGGCTCGATCTGAATGAGATTACCATTTGTTTTGAACACCTGGGCCCTGACCTGGATGTGGGGCTGTGTAAAGAGAGTAGATGCTTGTAAGCTAGGCTGCTGTGGAAGCACAAGAAGCTTTACGGTCTTTACCTGTGCATGGTTGGCCTGGGGTGTGGAGATTTGACTGGGCTGTACCTGCCTGGATGTACCGGGTTGTGGTTGTGCAGATGAAGTGCTGGCCTGAGGATTGTCTTGTGTTACATCACCTGTTCCAGTATTTACCTGTGTCCTTGCAGAAGTATTGGGCACTGTGCTTGCCAATGCACAAGACTGGCGAGAGGCACTGGAGGTACTAGCTTGGGGCTCGTGCTTTATTTGTGCTGAAGTCCCGACCCGAGAGAGTCCAGATGTACTCGGTCGGTCATCAAGTGTTCCTGATGGGGTGGCCTTAGCCTGGACGTTTGTTGAGGTTTGTGTAGAAGAATCTACAGGTTTCAGTGAGTTTGTGTGAAGGGTAGGGTGAGGCAAAGTGGTTGAGGGGCCAGGCTGAGGCTGAGGCCGTCCATGCCCCGACTTACCAGACTCTGGGGCTGCTTCTGCTTGTGGGATGGCCTGGCTCACTATAGAAGTGGCCTTGCTGTCTCTAGAGGTAGAGGCGGTAGATGAGGACGAAGATGGTTTATTTGGAGCTTCCCTTTGCTCTTTATGTTCAGTTGATTCTTGATTTGAATTGAATGAAACCACACTCCATTTTGCAGCTGGACGAATCACTTGTTTGCGAGCTGGAGTATTAGACTGTAAATAAGGAGATAAACAAGCGGGTGGACAAGGTCAAAGAAGCAATTTCAGTGGTGTGACAGTGTGTTTTCTTGTCTCTAGTCTAATAAAAATGTTATAATAATAATAATACATCAGTTTTATATAGCGCCTTTCTGGACGCTCAAAGATGCTTTACAGAGCATTATTCATTCACTCCATACCCGGTGGTGGTAAGCTCCTACTATAGCCACAGCTGCCCTGGGGCAGACTGACAGAAGCGAGGCTGTCACTGTGCGCCATCAGCCCCTCTGACCACCACCAACACTCATGCACACACCATTTTCATACTAGGCAATGTGGGTGCAGTGCCTTGCCTAAGACATAATGACCCACTGTGGCACCTGATTTTCCCAGCAGTCTCCCATCTAAGTACTAACCAAGCCTGGCCTTGCTTAGCTTCTGAGATCTAACGGGATTAGGCTTTGACAAGCTGGTATGTTCACAATAATGTTAAATATCGTCCATAATTTTACAAAGTATTATATTTTCCTATTCCATATTATACTGAGTATTGGATCACCTGTGGCTATATTATTAATAAAAAAAAAAAAAAAAAACTCAATTTACCCCCAGTAATGTGACATCATCATCATCAGGAACGTAAACAGGACTAGAAGGTACCAAAGTCACAGGCTCTTCATCTGAATCATCAGAAATGGTGATCAGCTCCCTCTGCTGCTGCCGCCGTCGTGAACCTATTACAAGAAACTATCATAATCGTGGCATTCAAGGGAGATACCAGGGATATGTTGAAAGTGAAAGTATTTCAGGAGTCCAACCTTGGCTGCGGTGGATGTTGAAACTTCTGAGATGAATGACATCATCATCACTGCCCGCATCTGCCATGGTGAGACACTACGCAGCAGCCCAGTCACAGACTCAACCACACCATCTACTCCACACAAACACACAAGCAATTCACTGCTACAACTGTTCTAGTTCAAAGGATAAACCTAGTATACATATATTATTATTTTATTATTATTATAATTCTTAAAGGTTTTTCCTTTAATATGGGACTTACATGAAACAAAACTAAAATCTTAACGTTAAAACGATCACGCACCTACCGAAAATGCAAATTATATTATATTACATTGTATTATAAGAATAAATAGTGGAGTTATATGAAAAGTAGAAAACCATGTTGACGTCTTTAAAAAAAGTTGCCAAGCCTTTTCTTCGTTCAAGAGCAAAACCAATCAATCAAACTTGGCAGCAAGCTCGACAAGACGGAAAACAGTTTGAAAAAAACTACGATTGTTGATAAAATACCCATATACAGTACTGACAGGGGTTTTTAGACTTAGTACAGGGTCTAAAGGAAAGAATCAGAGGCATTTCCGTGCCCTAATCGTTACAGGGAAGAGAACACACTTTAAGGGCTACTGGAAATTAGCTTCGCAGGCTAGCCTGCTGGGAGGCAGTTAGCTTCCTTGAGTAAAGATTTACCCTGATATCGCACAATGGAAACATAGCAGAGATACATGTTTGGATTTATAAAAGTATGTGAACATGCAAATGTGTAAAATACCACAGCATTGTCCCGGAGATCCAGTGAAAACCGCCCTCTTGGTGGAGAGACATGCAGAGAACATCGGGGAAAAAAACTGCCAAAACAAGCAGAGCGACGTCACACGTACACGCACACAGCGACACTGCTGATTTGTGGGAGTTGTAGTAAAGGACCTAAACATTATTGGAAACAAACAACAAACACACAAACAAATATATGTACGTAACCGTAATGAATATTGCAGTCAATGTTAGAAATTCGGAATAAACAGAACACAAATATTGATTTAATTTATTTTAATATAATCTTATTTACATAGTATTTTCATAAATGTTTAGTACATAGTAAGTTACAATGCTCTTGCATCCATTACACAGTGAACTGAGAACCTAGAAAATGCAGACTGAAATACTGCGGTAACAGTCCTTGATCTTCAATCTACACCAGATCCCACCATTTCACCATCACTCTCTTAATAGGTATTACGTTTCATTTAAAGGAAAATCAACAACTGTAAAGCAACTTTGTTCATTCATAGATCATAGGGGTATGCCTGTTATAAAGGGTCCCTCTTTAACATTCAAGCAAGGAGGAAAAGACAGGCAGGAAGGTTCAAACTGGGCAAAGGAAAACTATATAAAGCATATGATATTTTATTGTACACGTCACATATACAACGAAAATAAAAAACATATTTAGCCTCCTTTATTTCATTAGAGAAAAAGAATATCCCATTTGTGACAGTTGACCTATCCAGAATACCAATGTGTCATAAAACGTACGTTTAAAAATGTGAGCTGGGAAGGTGATTTCCAAGACACTTCAATAAATGTAACAAGGTATTCAAAACAACACACTTTCAGTTTCCATATACTTGAGAGAATTTCTCTGCTTTTAATCTGTTAAAAAAGTAACAATATTCAATAAACCCACTATGTGGATTACTTGTGTAAATAGCCCCTATGAATCGGGAATATGGGTTGATGAGATTAGTGTGAGCTCTGGCTTGAGCATATAGCAGCTTGGTCAGTAATTATAATAAATAATAAAATAAGAGTGGAGGAGAGTGGTGGCAGATACAAACGGAGGAATCAAAGAGCCAACTAAATAAAGAAGCAGGCGTTTGATCATTTTTACAGAATAAAGGGGTGCCATGCCAGACAAACACGCAAACACGTCTCAGACAGAGACCGTCATGCACACATACGTAACAGACGTCCAGGACACACCAGTGGTTAAACATGAAGTATGAATACAAGTCAGTCCATCAGCTTGTCAGACAAAAGCGCGTCTTCCTTGTTCTTCCTGGTTTGAGTTTGCAGGCTTGTTTGTGAGTTTGCTGATGTGATTCAGTGCATCAAGTGTGACTGCAGTCACATTTGTTGTGGTGCTAGACATTCTGAAGACATGACATCATAGTTTGTTAAAATTGAATGATAAAAATGCTTCTCCAAAACATAGGAAAAATCTTTAAAATACTTTTTTCTTTTTACATATTTTCTGCTTTTGCTGTGCTTCCTCCTTTAGCCCCAACAGTTCGGTGGTCAAGAGGCGGCAAGACACTGTGTGTTCTTGTAATGCTTGGCTGCTTGGTATACTACTGTATACACAATATTGTGTTAAAAGGTCAAATGTCAAATCATTGTGTGCAAGTGCAAGCTCAAGTGTGACAGTCTATTGGTTTTAGTTGTGGATTTTCACTCCACAGCAAAGCCACAGGTTTCCTCCACAGCTGTTAGGAGTTTCTCATAGAGTTTCTCATACGTCTCATAGGGAGGGATGTCTATTCTGTTAAAACTAAACAGAGATCACAACAGTCAGTAAAAAAAAAAATCTATAAAAAACAAATTCATTAGTGCTTCATTCATGTAATGTTTTCAAAGTAATCATACCATGTGTGAGCCTTGGGCAGGTTTTCTGTATTGGCATCTATCAAATGGATGGTAAAAAGCCTTGGTCCTGCAGAACCTGTAGAGCCTTACAAACATACATTCTAGTTATCACTGCTCTGCCTTACCAAACAGAATAACATATTAAAACAGTAGGTTACTATTACCAGGTTTAAATGTTAATTTAATGCCATGCAATGTGTTTAAAAGGTTAATGTGATGTGTGTGTGTGTGTGTGTGTGTGTGTGCTGGCTTTATGTCAGTGGCTGACCCACCCTGCAGGGCTTTGAACCCCTGTAAGGGGACTCGCGTTGATCCGGTCACAAACTGCAGGAGGCGCCCTCTCCTCTCTTCACTGAAGGCCTCTACTGCCTGCCAGAACCACCGCACCACGTTGCTTTCACTTGTACAGTGCTTGAGCCGAGTATTGGTCTTCCAATCTGTAAGGTCAATCTTACTCAAACCACCAATGATCAGCTGAAAAGAAAATGCAGAGAGAAAAAAAAAAATCGTAAAAAGAATGATAATATGTTGAATGTATGTATGAAGTTGTAATGTGAAATTGTATGAAACACAGTTCCTACCTCCAGTTCTTTATGGTCAAAGGGTTTGAGGAGATGCTGGGGGATGAGTTCACCAAATCCCTTCTGTAGAGCTAAAAACTGTGCCTCAATTCCACGCATAAACCTCCAGTTGACATAAAGTCTGAAAATTACATATTTATTTGGTCACAATTCAATTCCTTAAATTTAATGCATTTAAAATATAACGGTGACAGTGACGTAAAGAGGAAGAATAGTTAACAACATCTAAGCCAAGACTTTCTGATACCTGACATATTCTTTTTTGTTCTCTTCAGTAACTGGAATATTGCGGCCATTGGGCTTCAGTTCATGTTGCAGGAATTTCCCAAAGGCATTGTGTTCCACGCAGAATGTGTGGTCAAGAACCGAAGTGATATCATTCTCTCTGTGCACAGATCACACAGACAGACAACATTAGTTTTAATTAAATTTTGAAATTTCACTGTCCTAATGTTTTTAAGTACTTACAATATCCAGACAAGGCTTTTGTGGAGCTCTGGGTCAGTTGTCTCCAAATCACTGAGCTGGATGGGTTTTCCAAGCAGCTGTTTATAAAATGGCAGGGTAAAACTGCCATTGATGTAGTGGCCATGGAAAACTGCTAGACCCATAACTCGACCCACAAAATGAAATATGATAGGTGGTCCTAAGGAAATAAAAACATTTGATTGGTGGACAAAACAACTCTTTCAGTCCTTGTTTTATTTCTTTATAGCCTTACAGGGTTAATGGAGGAGTCAGGGTTGATTTGTAGTGTGTAGATGTTGTCTGTAGAATATTGGAACAGGCCGTAATAGGGGTTCAGCATTTCATGACACAGAAGGTATAACCATTCCCTAGAGAAATCAAAGTGTGAATGTAAGCACTTTTCATCTCACCACTACAACTGAAATATCCACATTGCTACTGACCTGGCAACCCCCCCATAGTCCAGGCCTTCTTCCCCTCTGAATTTGACCATCAGCCTCTTTTTAAGGTCTTTAGGGCGCATTTTCATGATCTGCCGATATGACTCCTAGAACCACAAACAAATCACTGTGTATTTCAAAACACACATCTCTCATTTCAGTGAATTTGCACAAAGCTCTAACTCACCTCAAATATCTCTTCTCTGGATACTTCAATGCGACAGTGGCCAGCTTGAGGTTGCTGCAAGGACAGCTCATGTCGGAGCAGCTTTAACTTATGGACCAAGTCTCTTTCATATCGGGCAGCCACATCTCCTTCTCCACCGCCCCCTACTCCCCCACTCCCCTCTTCACCCCCCACTTCCATCTGAGGAGCCTGTGATGGCTCTTTGACTTGCTGTGATTGTTGGCTGATGAAGGAATACAGACAGTCAATAAGGCTGATCATGCACAATATCGAATAAATAAATATCAACTCATGATGCTGGGTTGAAGCTACAAGGTGGCTCCATAGTTATGAGTGCGTAGACAGTCGTTTAGGTTGTGAATGACAGGGTTGTTTTTCAAGTCATACTCAGGCCTCACTTTTACTAGGACTAGTACAAGTCAAGAGTCCAAATCAAGACCTTACATTTTAGCTCTCTTACAGTGCTAAACTAACTTAAGACTTACACCCATCATTAAACTTAACCTTTTTTTTAAAGCAGATACACACAGGCAGTATATTTTTGAAAACTATATTACTGGTTCATGTGTGGGTCTACAAAGTAAGTATGAGTCACTTAAAGCTCAGTCAGGTTCATTGTACAGTAGATTGTTCAATATTTTGTACTACCCACACAGAAGGTTATACCTGATGATATTGTGAAGACGGGGATCTGTGAATTGCGTGGTTCGGTTGTTATGGTCCACAAAATAAATACGCCCAGACACAGTGCTCCTGACCTCCCAGCCCACTGGCAGCGGGCCAAGCTCCTCACAGCTCACACTGGCCAGATCCCTGACAAGAGCAGACTTTAGTCAGCAGTCCATCAAGTAATCTATTCCACTTTCACCCAAATTAATCTGGTGAGCCCTGAGGCGGACCAGTTTTTGTCTAGGCCAGATCCTACATACTGTGTGATCTGAGCCTCTCACATGACATTCTAACCAAGCCTGCTCAGGTAATCAGAGCAGAAAAGTTTAACTTCAAGCTTTATAATGCAGTGTGGTTGCCAATTCTCCCTAATCTTTCAATATATGACCTAAAAATGTAAACACAATGTAGATATTGGAAAAGTAGTTATTAGTTCAAAGGAAAGCAGTTTAGATCCTTCGCTGCTAAAATGCATCTATGTTGATTAAATTGCCTTTTTACAAACAAAAAGGCCTTTCAGCATTCATAGTAAAAATAGGCATCACACTGAGACAGGAGGATGGATTAGTTCAGATGTAGAAAAGACGAAAGTTTGGAAACTTTACCCTACTCTACAGTATGGTTCTCTATAACAGGCTACCTTAGTAACAAGTGAAATTTTCTGTCCACATGGTGATATTCACCTGGGTATTCGAGGGTCGTGCCATGTGCTGACGCCAGTTTGCGTGTGAAGGAAATAGACCTGGCCTTGTACTGTTGTTCGTTGTTCTGTTAAAGACATGATTAAAAGTTGTTCAGTAACATGAAGTCATATTGAAAATGATTTCGTTGCTGTTCAGACTGACCGTATCCTTCAGGCAGGTCAGGTGGTTGGTGTCCGTGCGGCCTGTTCTGAGGCGTGTGGGCATGGCCTCTAGACTCCTGCCCTCTGATTCGCTGCGGCTGGAGCCGGTTCTCTTGACTGGGCGAGTCCAGGCGACAGTTCCCACCTCCCGCTGCTCCCGTAGGATCAGAATAGGGCAGGGGCTCTTCACTGAAACAGCCCTCAAACATAGGTCTGCACACAGCACAACAGGACAGATTAGCTTATGATTTCGGATGTTTTTGATCAGAATACAATATGAACCAAAATTTATTATTAAAATGCATAGAAAGCTTCACTCACCCATCATTTTCCAAAAGTCCTCTGCAGTCCACAACTGGGCCACCACTGCCGATGCGGTCTCGGGTCTGTAAGCTCACTAGAAAACAGATAAATTACGATTTATGAAAATGTGCAAATTTATAACACAATCTTGATATCAGAATCACATGTTGGAGATTTACATGGTGGAAAAAAGCATTAATAAATAATAAGAAATAAGTGACATTGCCATAGCACAAAGCACAGTGGGAGACTTTAAGGCTTATTGTCCAATTTGTAAGATGTCAAAACGTAAACCACATGGAGTGCTACATTTCACGCAGTAGTCTTCTGGAAATTATGTGCCTTCACATTTTAAGTCCTTTACACATCTGTGAACAATACTGTTATACTTTTGGGAATAATTATCATATAAATTGAATTCTGAGATGCATTCAACACTGACCTTTGACAACTAGCATAATTGGGTTTATGTTTTGTGCTGAAAAGAGTAGAAATGATGAAGGGTTCCTCACATAGGAGTGGAACAGTCGAGCAGATAATTCAGTGGGATACTGTCATGGCAAAGAGGAGAGCCAAGGGAATACATCTGCATGTCAGGACTTACCTACGATCTGCCCTCGCACTGCATCACTGTCAGAGGGGTTGAGTTTACATAAATCCAAACGCTGGTCTGGAGACACAGCAGAGATAAGATGTAATGAAAATTATTGGAGTCCACCTTATTTTTCTGGTTTGACTTCACTTACATCCTGTGTCTTTTAGCCGACTGATGGCGTTAGATAAAAGTCGTATGCATCCCAAGAAACCGGCCCCTTGTCGTTTATGGATCTTTTTGTGGTTCCATATGCTGATGGTGATGGAATCTGTTTTGCCAATATATCTGAAAAACAACCATTTTATATATTTTTTAACATTGGTGTCATCCATTCCACACTTAATCCCCTTTAAACAAGCATGTCAGGTTTATTCACAAAGGAGTACAGTGAAAAAACGCATTTGTAAGTACTAGTAATAGTTGTTTTAGGAGGGGCGGGGACTTACAAGTCATAGTGCTGGTTCCATTTGGGGTCCAATGTGCTCTTGACTGTATCTGTGGAGTGGCATTGACCTGATCCATCCACTACCACTTTTGCAAACGGATCTGGCAGACCTGCGGACGCACGAAACAGAATTCAAATTGACACGTGCCCACTGACACACAAGGACAGCGCAACGGGATGAGAGCGCACTTAAAAATAACCCATTAGTTCACGTGTAATGCCTGAGTCTAACATTGATTCAGGCAAACAAACACAAACAAGAGGTTGTGGGTCAATCATTGCGGCTGATGGGGTGCAATTATGGCACAGAAAGGCAACAGCAGTTTGTTACAGAAAACGTACACACAAACAGGTATTAAATTTTTTGGCCATGTTTGATTACAGTGGAATAAGAGCAACCAATGAAATGCTACATGTTGTTTGTTCTGTTTTATTTTAGTAGCAACTGGTTGATTTTTAGGCATTGTTTCTGTGTTTAATATAGTATGTTGCTAATGCTGTTGTAAACAAAGTACGACGAGAGATGCACTGTTAGTAACTAAGAGCTTGTATAAATAAAAATTCAAATATTACGAGACTTCCTGGGCCAACTACAAACAGTAAAAACTATTACTAATAGTGTAATGATATCCAAGTCTCACGATACAATATCATCATGGTATGAACCTCACGGTACGATATTTATTGTGATTTTATGGAGGCTAATATGCTACTTTTTCCTCTTAAAATGCCTTGACAAGACTTAATCCAAAGAACTAAGTCTTAAAAGTGCTTAGAACTGTTATTTCTTCTGGTAGTCAACACTGAAATGGAGCAAAGGATCATGGTCTATGTAGTTTCCTCTGTCTTTTTTTTTTTTTTTTTAGCTATTGCCGCACCGTAATTCTTAATTTAAACAAAGAGACTTGTAATTCGATATATTGTGACGGTCCTCGATATTATTGTGAGAACTTTGACGATACGATATCATGATATTTCGGTTATTGTTACATCCCTACCTATTAAATCAATATATAGGGCTAACCAAGATATCGGCTGACCCAATATTTCGAAGCGAATCTGGCAAATATTTCAGGATCTGCAACATCCAATACCAGTATCAGTGAGTCCATAAATACGCCTTTATAGTACGTGACAACTTCTTTTAAATGTATTAAATTTTAATAAGCATGAATAGCAGAGGGCATTTCATTTAGACCAGTGGTCCCAAACCTTTTTTGTGCCACGGCCTGGTTTAATGTCAGGCAGTATTTTCATGGACCGGCCTTTACAGTGTGGCAGATAAATCCAACAAAATAAAGTGATAAGACGAACACAAAAACGGGGGTAGTTTGTGAATATAATAATAATCGTCCCCAAAGATGACAGTTTTTTACTACTTTTCTAGCTTGTGGAATAATTCAAGTTATTTATTCCTTCTGTGTGGCCCAGTACTGGTCCCCGGCTCACTGATATAGACCATAGATTGAAGTGGATAAGTATTTGAGTATTGTCTTTAAAAGAATTTAAATAAAAAAAATACAAGCCTTTTTTCACACACATTAATACTTACGGAAAAAGTCTTTCTTTGCGAGGTTCTTGGCACATAATACTGCAAAAGAGAAAAAAATCATTATGAACCAAATGTAATGCACTACTATGTAAATGACACAGTGTAGGCTGATCAACTGTTCTTCTGTACGAGAAAATATATTCACGAGTAGGATGAGTTCTGCTTATGAGGTTAATATTTGAATACAAGTGGACAGTGCTGCTGACGCTGGTAAAGTCATGATCACAGCACACAGAGCAGGGAACAAAAAATGAATACTATGCATTTTTTTTGTACATAATTGTGCAAGAGATAGAGATAGAAGCCAGACGCATGTCACTTTGGTCATCACTTTTCAACTTAAAATAACATATGATACAACCACCACTGAGATCATTTACTCAAAATATCAATTTGTCAACGTCTTGGTTACTAGGTTTTCCAGCACAATTCTAAGAAGGTCATTTCAAAAGGATCCAAACTCAGCTTTTAAACAACAAAAGATTTCCATACAGGTGCTATGCAAATGATTAGTTCTTAGGTTCTGACGAGACTTGAAAAGGCTGAAACTGAGAATCATCATTTGATAAGTGATACGTTTATTTGTAATTCAAATTTACATTTAATAAAATTCACAACAGATATTCATGGTAATGTATTGATTCAGCTGCCCTTCACCAACTAAAAATTGTATATGTCCACATTAGAAATAGACAGATATATCGGTTGGACAATATATCGTGGTGATATATCGTACAGATTTTTTAAAATCTTTTTAGTGTATTCGCCTTAAATCTCCGATATTATGTTTTGGTCAATTTGTTGCCTAAAAAAAACCAAAAAAAAACAAAACACACAAAGCATTTTAAAACACTCTCAACTAAACAAATAACTGCACTAAATGTAATACACATCTCTTGTAAAGGTTTGTGGTAAAAAAAAGGGTTGTAGTTGAGTTTGTACTAAATTTTGAGTTTATCACCCATTGTTGGCTCTGTATTCTAAACAATTGGTATCGGCCATGAAAAAAAACAGATTGGTTGATCTATTGGAAATTTTATATTACCTTTTTCCACAATATGTGAGGAGAACTAACTTCGCAAGTCACGGGAGACTACTACAGGACATAATTTACATAATTTACAATAGAAAGGGCCATAAAATGCAGATTAACATGTGACGGAAACAAAAATATTCTCCATCAGAGTTGAATGAACAATGGGGGCAATGTGGGCACCATTACAGGTAGAAAATGGTATTGATGTCACGGCTGAGGAGAACAAAGAGCTTTTTAACACCCGTACACGCTGTGCCTAATTGAATCGCCATGGTGCCTAAAACAAAAGCACTGCCCTGAGGTGCTCTGGCGATGTGTCATGATTCAGTCAGTCGTGGCTTGTCTGGTGAAGCCGGGACGATTTCCTGTGACCAACCAATAAAGAATGGCAGCAGGATATCCGACCATCTGAGGGTTGTGTGGTAGTGATTCAGGCACACACAGTCTCTTCTTCTTGCCCTCTTCATTTCTTTGCCTCATTCAACTAGCCCAACAGGAAGTCAGTCTCTTTCACTGCAGCCTCAGACCGGGGACACCCTTTAATTACAACCTTTTTTTTTTTTTCTTGACCAGCTCTGCTGAACGTGTGACAAAGTTTCAGGAAATTCCAAAATCTGCCAAGGTCGGGGCTTGTCGCTGGTTGCTGACACTTTTTCCGCTCCTTCTGTCTTGGTGTTGTGAGAGAAAAAGAGAGAGGGAGCAGGCAGGAAAGAGTGCAGCTATTCGTTTAATCATGAGGGAGCACAAAGGAATTTAAAGTCAAAACATGTCCCAGTCAAATCAATAGTGCTCTGTGTTTTTTTTTTTCCTTTTTGGACATTTTGGGAAAAAAAAGCTGAAATATCCAACAAATGTCATTACGGATACCAATTTGATTTGATCTTGAATGTCTTAAATTAAATTCTTTTCTAATAAATAGGAGTCACAGTTTAACAATATGCATTATCTATTATCTATCTATATAGCTAACTTTTCAAATCTCAGTCAGGATGAAGTTAACATTTTAAGTTTAAGATAATCGCAAATATATAGAAACTACAAATTTGCATGCGAAGGCTGCAACTAATTGGCTAACATCTTGTCATCTTCAAAACCAAAAACATTATGTCTCCATGCAGTCTTGCCTGTTCTATACATGTGATTTACAAACATCGTCTGAAAAGCAAGTTTAAGTGTTCCATATTTCAGTCTTTTGCTTGATTTTAATGTTTTTATGTTCCTGAACGAGAACTCCAAAACAAAAACAGCCTGAGCAGCAGGGTACATGCAGCTTCTTGGTAACCCTGCATGTGCTGGCATCAAAACACAAACCAAAGCACTTCCCCATCACCAACATTGTGAAATAATTTGTGTCCCTGTCAGCATGGAGCATATATGTGTGTGTAAAAGATGTGTATGTTGTGTGTCTCTGAGATGTGACTCTGCACATGGCCCAGGGTTGAGAGGATTACAACTGCTTATTCAGCCCCTAAAGCATGCACACTTTCTTCATTTCCAGACATTTTTCTCACACTTCATTCAACCTTTCATATCTTGGTTGTTTATCTGTCCCACTTCCTTCTTCCTCACTGTATTCCCCTAAAATACCTACAGACCATTACCTTACTTTCAGTGTGATTACAGACTAGTGACCTGGCCTGTCAGCACATGGGCACTTGGAGTGTAACCCAAGTATTTGGCACCAGTCCCTGAGCGGCACGTGGAGCAATCGTGAGCAAATTAATCCAATCGCTCAGACTGATCCACAAATTCTTTCAACAACAACTACCTTCAAAACATAATAAATTGTTGACAAAAATGTGCCTTTATAGAAGGGCTGACCTACTTTTTTCCTGTGTTTTTATTATCTAGTGCTTGCCCAGTCCTCCTGCATACACTCAAATAACCTTCAACAAACTACAGCACAAAAAGCCAAAGAGCAAAGGAATTATTTAAATTTTGTTGCTAGTGTTACAAAATTCAATAAAATATAAAATAATTACAATAAGCTCATAGCAGCAATATTAGTGGATATAACAAAAAAATCCAATCCATATCTATTAAAGGTAATATTTTAATAAAAAATGTTGATATGGTAAGACACATGGAGCTGTGGAAACAAAAACAGGTGAATATATCTAGAGTAAACTATTTCAAACTGTAATGCGGCACGTCCTTTCATTGTGGCATAAACAGTGGCCTATATGTACAGACTGGGCTGGTGGGTGGGAGTCAGCTGGAGTGGGCTCTCCATGGCCTTTGTGTGTGCCCCCGCCCCAGACACACGCCTCATCGGGGCCAAACAACCCCTCGGTCTGACAGACTAAACAAAGCGCGGCCAGCCAAGCAGCATTGTGCTGCCATTGGCTCATGGTGCATTCCTCACCCAATTAGGATTCCTCTCATACCTGTGGGGGCGGGGCATTAGGGCAATAACCTCGGGTTGTAGCTGAACTGAAATAATGAGGTGCTTCACAGAACCGCTTGCACCCCTTGGACCAGACTCTAAAGTCTGACTTTGTTCAACCAAACTTGCTGTATTAATCTTTCTACATGTGGCTACCTCACAAAACTGACCGTGGTGAACTCCAATAGCCAAACAGAGTACAGTATGTGTGTTTTTGCTTGACCCAATGAAGTGGAACTGTGAGGTCTGTGAAGGCAATTGTAGTTTATGACCCTGACAAATATCTTAAGCAGGACGAGAATAAACAAACACCAAGAGGATGGTGGTGCCTTTTATCTGAGGTTAACATGTAACAAATGTTCCTGCTTCTTGAAAAATATTCAACATTTTGAGTGGAAAAACATTTAGTAAAACGTTCTGTAATATAAACTCTATATACTCCAGAAACAGCTGGCATGATAGAGAATAGTCTCTCACTCCAAGTTACTTGTAATGCTCATTTGGTTGTGGAAAAGATAAGACAAGGTATCTGTCCTGAGGCAAAGAGTGGTCATTTCCATGTGAAAGGAGGCCGCTGCGTGCCCAGTAGGGATACATTAGCTACAGTACAGTCTTTTGTTATGGCTGTGTTTTGGGAGTGAGAGAGTAGCATGAGACTGTTAGGACCACTTGTAATCATCCACACAGCGATGCTCTCGGAGTACACAGTCTGACACTCGCTGTAGTTTCAGCTGACATAGTGGCTGACTGCCAATCAATACAGGGCACAGTGCTAGCATGCCAAAAACAAACCCAGCGACACATTGATTCACATAGATGCGGCTCGACATTCACTTTTATTCCCTGGTAAAGGACACGCACGTCGCATTCAGGTCAGGCGAGTTCGTCTAGTGGTCAGCAGCAGAAAATGGGTGTAGCAATCCTTAGCGGTCAAAAGCTAACTTCAATTTCACAATACTCCACAACAGTGTTAAAACTAGAAGCCCGGGATCCCTATATCCACTGGCACAACTATCACACAGCAGCAACCAAATCCAAAATTCAGCAATATATCTGATGGACAGAAGAGAATAAGCTTAATTTGGTCTGGTTAGCATGAAGCTAAGCTAACAGGCTAGTGCTGTGTTTGCCACAAAAACCGGATGTTTAGGCAAACAGCAGACCCGATCGTTCAAAGACACATTCGCCCATGGCCTTTAAAGATAAAACCCACTTCTATGTAGTAACCTGCAGAATAATATTTAAGGTAAGGGGACATGCTCTGTAAGCGCTTTCTAACGCGGTGGCTTTTACCTGTCAGTCGGATTTTGATGCTGGACCCGTTCCTTCGAGTCCCAGGATTCGACATCACTCCGCAGAAAACGACCCCCCAAAGTTAGAGTCCCCCCGAACCACAAGTTTCACAACTTAGTGGGAACAGAACGAACTTCTGCGTCCGATCATGCGGCCTGGTGTTGCTTTCCTCTGGGGTAAACGTGTATTATTTCATCGTAAAGTCCTGCGCTCCTTCGAAATCCAACAACACGGGAGAACATTTTCGGGCAGGCTCAAGCACGTACTGACGTCATGTTCTTAACGTGACTAGGGTTACGTGCTCGTGTCCGGAAAGCGTGGGCGTGCACGACAAGTAGGAATTGTAATATTTATCTCTCGACTGATTTATAAATGGTCACTTAAGTCAAAGACGATGATAATAATAATAATAATAATAATAATAATAATAATAATAATAATAATAATAATAATAATAATAATAATAATAATAATAATAATAATAATAATAATAATAATAATAATAATAATAATAATCATAATCATCATCATCATCATCATCATCATCATCATAATAATAATAATAATTATTATTATCATTATTATTATTATTATTATTATTCACTTCTTTTTCACTTGCTACAGGGGATATTGAAGCTCTGACTTCATTTATTTTATTTTATTTATTTATTTATTTGAGACAGGGACAGCGCAAAATTTTTGCATTTTTACCTTAACAGGAGAGATGCATTGTACATCAGGTTGTAGCATCAGTACTAATTTCCACCTGTAGTCCCTGGACAGATTCATTGATTGATTGTATTTAACTAACCTTGACTGTCAACTGTTCTGGAGATCTATGTAGCATGTTTTGGGTTGATGAGATGAGAGCTGATGTTGGTTCCATTAGGCTGAATCAAATCCCACCAATGGCTCAAAGTAGTGAGTATGTTACTTTTAATGCTACAGGAATTACTGTGTTGTTAATATGGACGAATAAACTATTTTCAAGAAGTAATTCTACTCTTCTGCACCCTGCTCTGTGTCACTGTTGCCTAGAGATCAGAGAAGTTGTAAGGGCAGGGATAAGGCCAGAGGGATTTGGAGCTGGGGTTAGTAGCTCCAGGGCTGCAGTATTAGCAGCAGGAACAATAGACCCTCTCTCTCACACAGCCTGTTTACTGGACACTGTAAATCCATGCAGTCCTAAGGAATGAAGCTGTTTTTGGTCATTCTAAACCCAGACAGTGGAATACTAGATATGGCATGAATGTCAAATCCCTTTCTCAAATACTTACATTATCACTATTAGACATATATTTAAATTTTACTTCCCAATCCTTAAACGAACAAGAGATTACACATGCTCATATTTGATTCTCAGATAAAACTGTTGTATATTTAAACTTGCCAACACTTCACAGGTGGGTGGACATCCACTGGGGGCAGATGATGGGAGCGCTCCACACTGGCAACTGTTGGTCTCATTATGTGATTAGTTTATATTTGTGTGCATGTTATTCAAAGTGCTGTTGGAGCTCATGAGACCAGCTGAGTGGGCTACTTAAATCATTCCAGTCATATACAGACCACCGTAGTCAAGGCCCGTGGGAGGCACTTATTTAACATCCATGAAGTCATTTGGTGATTTGGTACCATTAGCAACGTTAAATGATTTTGTCTTTTGATTTCTATGTTAACAAGCAGGTATTATTGAGGTACGTGTAAATGTTTATATATTAACAATAGGCAAGCTGATTTTTGTCATCAGTGTTGCAGAATTTTATTCAGAGAAATCAATACGGTCAGTCCTGTTTTTGACAACATAAAGTAACTTTTCGAACGAGTTTGAGATGATGTGATGTGACCCATATATAAACAATGTCCAAATATGACTGTAAAAACATTGATCCATGTGTATTTCCTATTTGTTTTCAGCAATGAGGAAGTATGCATACAGGCCCCTAGGTGTGCTGTCCTGCAGGATCCGGGATGGGAGAGGAGTGATGGGGAGAGGAAAGGAGATGGCCTCTGCTCGGGTGATGACTTTCAAGGGACACCTTAAATGGAGCGGACTCAGATTGAAGAATTCCCAGTTCCATGGCTGTCAAGGCAGAGCAAAGCGATGGGACCTTTGGGCAGTAGCTGGTTTTAGAGTTGTGCCCATATCGGGAGGGAGCTGCTCTGATATATAACAGGCCGAGTATCAATGTATGTAGTCATAGACCAAGAGAACGCCTGCCTCCTGCTTTGGTGAGTTTTACACATGTATGTCAGGTACTAATTCAAATATATTTAACAAGTATTTTTTTGTTTTTTTTTATTAGGAAGCAAATTATTATTTTGTGAAAGTCTAATAGAACTGTTGTACAAGGGATGTTGTCATTCACTTTTAATAGGGATGTTGCTCATTTGTTGCTCATTTTACTGTGAATCGTAACTAAAAATAATTAATTGGGACAAATTACCAACAGCATTATACCTTTCTGCTCATCTATTTATAATTAATACTTTTCAAATGGTTGCTTTGTTTCTGTGCATGTTTCCTAAATGCATCATGCATTATTTATACCCAGATATTAAAGTACGTTTGGTAAATGGAGCAAGTTACTATTTAGAAATGTTTAACATGAAAAGTAAATACTTAATACAGAAGATATTTAAAACTTAATACAGAAGATTGTTCATTGGTTTGTATCCACAGGGTTCAGAATGATGAAAAATTAGAACTGTTGTCATAGAAATGAACTAGGCTATGTAACAGCAAAACATCGTGTCTTTGAAGCAGTGAAAATAATGAAAATGTTGCCTACATCAGGAGGCAGAAACCCATGAATATTATGCAATAATTTTTTTTTTTATTATTATTTTTATGTTTATGCAGTGGTCCAGAGGAGTGTGTGAGCAGGTTTTTCACTTGTCTGGCGTGCCTTGGCAGCAGCAGCCATGCCGGGTGGATACAAAGGGGAGTGCGGGGATGATGTGGACCCCATGCCATTCCTAGTGCCCTCTGAGAAGGAGCGCCTGGATGCCATGAATTTACCCTATGACATCAAGCGCTCCTGCTGGGTCAAAGACGAGAAGGAGGCGTTTGTGTCTGGGGAGATTGAGTCTGAAGACGGAGATAAAGTCACTGTCAAAACATCCAAGGGCGCTGTAAGGAAACGCACACACAAACCTCTTACATTTTCTTTTTTAGTCTGATTTCATTATTGTATTTGATCTTCTGTAGTCGGTGGTTGTGAAAAAGGAAGACGTCCACCAGATGAATCCTCCTAAGTTCTACCAGGCCAGTGACATGGCCAACCTCACTTTCCTCAATGAGGCCAGCGTTATGGAAAACCTGCGCAGCCGCTACGTCAGCATGAGGATCTACGTAAGTGTTCCAGAAAAGCTAGTACTACAATTTGTTGTGATACATAATTTTTTTTATAGATACAATTACATCCCTGAATATATTATTTAATCAGTTTATGCTATAACAAAGCCCAGTGAAATGCAAATACTATGAAAAGCCCAGTGTATGATGTCAAGATGGTAACATATTTAGTCAGCTTCATAACATCTAACATGAAGACATATTTCAGGAAAAACCTCTCATCTAAGGTGACTCACACTGTCTGAAAAGCTAAACATAGAAAGTTATGGACAAAGATAAATTATTCCCAAAAAAGACATATTCCATCACAGTTGAAAGATTATAAATGGGGGAGCAGGTCTTTATTTAACCATGCACAGCGACCATCAAGTCCATTATATTCTCCTTTCTCTCTAACCCAGACTTATTCAGGCCTTTTCTGCGTGACCATCAACCCGTACAAATGGCTGCCCATCTACGGAGCAAAAGTGGCCCAGTTATACAAGGGGAAGAAACGCAATGAAGTTCCTCCTCACCTCTTCTCAGTCTCCGATAATGCCTACCACGACATGTTGCTGGGTGAGCGAGCTTGAATGTCTTGAACGCAACGTCAAAGGGGGAGATTTCACAGAGGGGGTCCATGAAGAACGGGGGAAGGAAAATCATTTTAATCAGTGTAGTAGAGGAAAAAACAGGTTGGATAAGTGGTTGACAGTGCAGTGAAATAGACATACAAGTGGTGCGTGGTGATGTGAAGGGCCCCCTGGGGAGTTGTTAGACAGCCATTCCACAGTTGTATGGGGATGGAGGGAGTAGGCCAGTTGCTTCAGGTTTGTAATCAGTGTGCCGTGTGATGATTTGTTCAGGGAGTTGAAAATACTTTGAAGCCATTATGTGGAGTCAGGGGAGAACGGGCAGCTGTCTGTGTGGCTGGGAGCAGGATGGAGCACATCCACAGTTCTCTGATCTACTCAGTGGGAAATCATCAGGAATTACTGTCATCCCTCTCACATTGTCCTCCTTATGTCCTTTCATTACAGAGCATGAAAACCAGTCCATGCTGATCACGTAAGTACATCCTATCAAAGCATGACTGACACATTGAATTTGGGAGGTTAATGTAGATAGTAATACTAAGGGGTTTGGAAATGCAGAGAGCCAAAACAATTGATTGGCCAGTCTCCAAACTATTATTGCCCTGTTCAGTAAACGTATGCATGTAGGATCTCTGTGTAATAGAGTGTTTTTCTTTATTAGCGGAGAATCTGGTGCAGGCAAGACTGAGAATACTAAGAAGGTCATTCAATATTTTGCCAATGTTGGAGCATCTGGGAGCAAAGTTTCCGATTCCAAGGCATGTTTTACTATCCAGACATGTATACAGTGTAACATACTGCAGAAAATATGACCTTCTGAGTCTGGTCTATAACACAAAATCTCTTTCTTCACAGGGCTCATTGGAGGATCAGATCATTCAGGCCAACCCAGTGCTAGAGGCATTTGGTAACGCCAAGACCATCAGGAACAATAACTCCTCACGTTTTGTAAGATATAAACTTTCTTTCATGTTAAGTTAAACATGATGATTATGTTAATGATTTTATCTTCATCTTACAGGGAAAGTTTATTCGTATCCACTTTGGCCCAACAGCTAAGCTAGCTGGTGCCGACATTGAGACTTGTGAGTGCTTACACATATTTCTAGATGTATGTTGTGAAATTGTAATATCTTGTGTCTAATTAAAACTTTTTTTAAGATCTGCTGGAGAAATCTAGAGTGATATCCCAGCAGTCTGCAGAAAGAGGATACCACATCTTCTACCAGCTTCTGTCAGGGAGAAAGCCAGAACTCATAGGTATGTGTACAGTAGTGAGTTAACATAGAACACCTTGAGTCCCCTGTTTCTATTAACCCTCTCATTCCTTTACATCG